AGAGGATGAAGATAATTATATTAATTACGATAGTAATTCTGATTCTGAAAATATTGATTATAATTTTTATAATTAATAATAAATAAATATATTTTTGTTTTTTTTTGTTTAATAACAAAGTTGTTTAAATATACCAAAAATTATTTTTATGTTCTCTATTATAATTGTTAATCGGTATAAGATAAGTAATATAATTATATTTTTCTTTTACGTAAAAATAATCTATTAATAAATGTGTATAAATGTTTATACATATTCTGAAAGCAATTACACTATTATAAAAATGTTCTCTTTTAATTTCTAATATCTCATCCATTTTATCAACACTAAACAAAAGTTTGAGTATTTTTTCGCAATCATATAATATTTGTTTTGAGTTTAAACGTGACATCCTATTTAATAATGAAAAAGTTTTGATATCATCAATTTCATTAACGAATTTTAATATATTTGTATTTAGTTCTTTAATATTTAAAATTTTATCCATTTTTTATTTATTTATATTTTCGATTTATTGTATTTTTATAAAAAAATCAAATTTGATCATCTGATTTTTTTATAATCTTAAATTATAAATGGGTAAGCGAAGCGACGCCAAAAGGGGACCCAAGTTTAATGTTGATTTTTTATAATTCAACTAAACTTGGTCTGCTTTTTTTAATGTTACCTATAGCTAGATTCCGTTAAGTACTACCTGTACTATAAATAATCAGATATTCCTAAGTAGTATGACTTTTGATAGTCACATCAGCTAACGCTTGATCCAGAAAGGAAACTATTAATAAAAGATGCAAATTGAATCGAATGCGCATAAATTTGTTTTACAGGGAGGATTGGTAATACTAATCTGGCTTAGCAGCTAACTGGATTGGGAGGATCTGCCTTGTAAAACATTTGAGAAGATAGATACAGAAAACTGATAGAGAGCCATGATAGAAACTAGGGTTGTACAAATATCTACAAGGGTCTAAGCTAGGTAAATTCGTAAAATGGGTACAGACCACTCTAGTAGATATGCTTTGAGGTTAATCAGCTCTGCAGTATTTACAATATTTTAGGTACAATGTATCCTGAGAAGACCTAAGCCATTCTGAATAAATGGATCTGTAACGAGCTAGCTAGCTTAAGCAGTTAGATGTTGCGGTAA